AGAAATAAAATTAGAGTGCCGGTTGCATCTAAGAAATAAAATTAGGATGCTGGCTGAACTTTTACCTAGGTTTGTATGATAGAGGATATGGTGTGCTTTGTCCCCATTTGAAGCGCAAGGTTTTATGAGCCTTAGCTTACTACATCATTTATACAGCATTATAAAATCCATACTATATTAGCATTCTGCCACTCAACGCTTGACACAACTGGAATCCAGAATATAGGTGCTTATTTGGCGTTACCTATCATAAGTATATTAAAGTAAGTTGAGATAAAATTTTTTTTATATACTTATCTCATGTACCATAAATCACGATTGAAAAATTATTTTTAAAGGCTTGAATGCCCATTTCAAATAATGGACATTCTTGCCTCACACACAGAAAAAGTCCACTTTTTCGCGCACATCTTGCCCCAATTGGTTCACTTGATTTTTTTTGGCCAAAGCATAATACTTTAAGAATTTCAAAGTGAAGCCCTTTCCCCTCCTCTTGGAAATTGGTTGTCATTTGATAGAGTATTAGTTTTATACTTAGATTGCATCGTAATCATCAAGGCATGGCTCCATATGCCATATCGTTTTGTGTCTCTGGTATTTCAAAAAGACAGTTAAGCAACATGACCATTATTAAGCTTTGTTTGTCTTTGCACAATCTCTAATATTCAAGGTTTTTGTAAAACAAGGGTATGTGCCACAAAGAAAACGACAATCATCAATTTCAGCAAACTTTATGACGATAGCTCTGGATCATTTACAGCTATTCCATATTTTCAATCTTTTTTTCCCTTAAAATAGCATAATTTCTGAATGTTTACGGAGCTGAAATCCTGCCTTGTGTATAAAATCAGAGAATTGTTGAGCACGGATATACAACTTGTTGACTTATTCCATTACATGGGTGGCTTGCCAAATTTCTGGTAAACTTTGTACACGATTTCTGTGGAGAAACATTGCATCGTAATCTGCGGGAAAAGAATTAATTTCTGGTAATAAACCAGTCGGCGTGATCTAATGATGAGGGTTGTAATTTGTTAAAATGTTTCAGAATAATCAATCATTGACAATTGGAAAGTCTGTGGGTATGTGTTGGAGACTTTTCATATTAAAACATTTGCCGTTAAATTCTGGTAAGTCAATAACAGAAAGGAGGAAACCTAAATGCATGGAAGTCTTCAATTGTGGGAAAACACTAATAATCATTCTTGATCTTTACCGTCACGTTGTCATTCTTCTTCACGGATCGCCACTCCAACGATTCATATGAAAAAGGCGAGCCTTTTTTTTTTTTTTCAGGCTTAATAAATTAAATAATTGTCGTGTTTTTTTATTCTTTGTAAACCTTTAAGGGATAATTAATCTGCAAGTCCTTATAGTTTCAATCAATTTTGAATCAGGTCCCTATAATTTTTTTCCTTTTTATCAGGTCCTTATACTTTCACCTGTTTTTAATTAGGTTCTTGCATTTATTTTTCTTTTTATCAAGTCCTTATAATTTTACTAAATTTTAATCAAGTCCATATAGTTTTAATTTTTATTTATTAATTAAGTATAAAATTAATTAAATAGATTAATACTAAAATATAAAATATTAGTAATGAAATTAAATTAATAATTATTTAATAAAAATAAGTAATATAATTAATAATTCAGGAAATTTTTTTAGAACAATTAATATTCTTTTGCTGGTAAAATTATTATAATAATTTATGAAAAAATTAGTAAAAAAATCTCTGTTTGAAATTTTAATGGCTAGAAGGACCTGATTTGTGTAAGTGCAAGTATGATCCGTGTGTGTAACAAATCAAGTCCTGGCCAATTAAAATTTCAAACATGGATTTTTTTTTTTACCAATTTTCCCATAATTCATTGTTTTTATAATATATTGTTTATAAAATAATAGTAAATAATATATACTATTTTATGTTTATAGAATAATACTATTAGAAGTTATAAAATAAAGAATAAAAAATTCAGGGACTTAATTAAAAATAAGGTGAACTTATAAGGACTTGATAAAAAGAAAAATAAATACAAGGACCGAATTAAAAACAGGTGAAAGTATAAGGACCTGATAAAAAGGAAAAAAACTATAGGGACTTGATTCAAAATTGGTTGAAATTATAAGGACTTGCGGATTAATTAACCCAACCTTTAATTATATTTATTTATTTATAATTTTGTCATTTTATAAAAATATATATTTTTAAAAAATCAAAGTCATATCTATATGTAGTTGTTAACTTGTTATGTTATGCAAGTAGTAGATATAAAGAAATTTTGGTCACAAAATAATTGTAACTTGTATGTATTTTAACAAATACAAATAATATTTTATGCTATAGTTATCTTCTCTCTCTGTGTGTGTGTGTGTGTGTATATATATATATATATAAATATATTTATCTAAATGTTTTCAATTGCTATTTAATGATATCATTTTGTATCAAAGTTAAATTTTAATGCATCAAGCAGTTAAAAGTTAAAGATGATTTGATTGGAACAGAAAACTGCTTTGGATTAAAATAAACCTTGAAAAGTCAATGATATTTTGAGAGTAATTATTTTCTGCAAAAGAAACTCTCTGGATGATTTACTTCAACAAAAACTATTTCGATACACCAGAACGAACGAATTAACAAAGAACAGCTTGAGTCCAAAAAAAAAAAAAGAACAGCCGTCATTGTTTTTTTTTTTTTGGGAAAAATGATCAAATAATAATATTAATAAAAACGAATAATATTATAAGTACATTACCAACAATGAAAAAGTAGAAAGGAATTTATAAAACACCGAATGAGAAGTAGGAACAGCCATCATTGTTCCCTTGACAAATGATAACAATAATTACTATGGTTCTTAATATAAAACTTATCTAACTAATTTGACTAGATTAAGAAAGTTAGGTAAGTTAGTTAATTATAAAAAATATGACAAGTTTTTTTTTAAAAATATCATAATTATCTTTCTCAATATCCTCATTCCTTCTCCTAATTTATTATGATCAAGCTAGGAAGTATTAATAAGGATAGTTTAAGTAAAATTGATAAATATGATAAATAGATATAATATTTAGGATTAACGACAACTCAACAATTATGACTTATATTAAAAAATGAAGAAGTAATACACATATACACACATATTTATTCATGTATATTGTATATAAAATTTCTGAAATCTCATAGGTGGCAACGAAAGTTTTTGTCTTGCATTTCTGATCATTGTCTCAACTTGTTCACTTGAAAGTTACATCTAAATAACACCTTTCTCCTTCGGTTTCCAGTCGAAATAAATAAATAACAAAACTATGTAATTATATATTATTTTCATTTTGATTTTCTTTCTCCTTACCCTTTATCTTGTTCTTTGAAATCGTCAGAACAAGGAATTTTGAATAAGAATATTAAATAAAGGTAAGTCCTGCTGTTAATTGTCATGTGTCGTTGAATTTTACAATAGCCGAACTTCCCAAGAATGTTTAAGCGACAAAAGCCAAGCCTCATTATTTTATTACCAATAGACCTTTTAATTATTCTCTGTTTAATTGTTTTCATTTGCCTCTTTTTTTTTGTTTCCCATGGTCACTATGCTCTTTGTTTTCTTCTCGTTGTCCTGGATTGTTGACCCCTCTTGCTATATTAATCATTGATTATCATTTAAGAAAGATTTAAAAGTCCGATGCTGGTTGAGATACTGATCAAAGATTTATAGTTGTTTTGAAAAATACTAATATAATTTTTTTTTTCAAATACGTAAAAATTAAAAGAAACTGTATTTGGTTTTCAATTAAAATTGCATAAATTTCTCTTCTAATTTTTAAATATACACGTTCATCATTTGAAGCAAAACGTTTGTAGATTTTAGTCTGATTTTTTCTGCATGAAAAAACCTTCCTTAGTCTATAACTTCATTACCCCTCCGGCCCCAAATATAGAATGTAATAGAAAGTTTTGATTTTGTTTTAAATGTGAGATTTTAATTCACTTTATCTTCAATTGCTATTAATAAGAAGGTCTTCATCAGAAAATAGTTTTAAATGCAAATACTTAAAAAGATATTTTAAAAATCAACACACATTTTAACAAATTATTAATTTAACTAATTTTCTTAATCTTTATAAATTAGTTATTTAATTTTTATATTTAGCAACTGGAGTAGTACGTATTTTCTTGAAACTAAAAATGCTCCAAATGAATTGTATAGAAAAAGCTTTAAATTTGAGGGAAAGAGCTTTGTAAGAAATTTTACGAAAAAAAAGGAATTTATAAGAAAAAAGTACTCATAATATAAATTAAAAAAAATCTTTTAACTATAAATCTCTTCAATTTCTACTGCCGCTCATACAATTTTCTGTTACATTTCAGCTTATTACTAATTAGCAAATGGCTTTTAAAATAAGTTTAAAATTTTAATCTTTTAATCTGCAAACAAATCTTTGCAGTTCTAGATCTCTCAATCCTTTTCCTCTTTTCCATGACAATCCCTTGACCTGAGGTTTCCAATTCCATCAGTCACATCATTTTCCCCATGTTAATCTTGATTGGTAGAGAATTAATTAGAAAATTACCGAATTCTGGATTGAAAAAGTCTTCTTCAGGATGCTTCCATCTTCACGTGTTCTTCTAGCAAATGCCACTTGTTTGGCGGAAAAAGCGTCTTCTGTCCCCAGGAATTGAATTATTGAAGGAGTACCAGAAAAACGAGTAACCAAACACGTCTTAACAAGGAGGCTGGGCTGGCGGCTTCTCGTAACTTAGTCGACGTCGTTACATAACTTTCAACGGTCATAAACTCCGCAAAAAACGTCAACGTCGTTTTGGATATTCCTCCTAGCAGAACCAGTAACAAGGCGGCACCAGATCAACAACAACAAACCAATGCGTTTTCTTTGAAGTTTCAGCGAAAATAATAATGATCTAACTTTATTTGATCACGAATATATAAGGGAACACACGCGCACATACACACATCCGTTTCTCTCTCTCTCTGACTATTTGCGTGTGTTTTCTTGTAACCGAAACAACGAGGTATATAATCAAAGCCAACGAAACCGAGTTCTGGGTTGGCTAAAGTTTGATCTTTCTGAAGAATCTGTTGTTATTTCAGCAGATTAAAGCTGATATTCAAAGTGGGTATCGAAGATTATCATCTTCCTCACCTTCTTGAGGATTTGAATCTCTCTCTATCTCTCTGTTGGTAATCCTTACTTCATATAGATTTGTTCTGTTTTCGTCTTTCATGACTTGATGAGCATATACGGATATCATATCAAGTATTGCTGATAAGATAATCTTTCGGAGCCTCTGCTAGATCGCAAATCATAGCACAAGAACAAAGGAATTGATCTTCATTTTGCAGTTTTCTTTTTGTTGGGGCAGAAATGAAGAGCCAAAACAATCAATACCCAGTACAATCATCAGTTTCAAAGCTTTTCAATGTTCACAACCACCGGGTTCGTCTTCTTCCCCACTTGCTCCTTCTGGGCTGTGGAATAACCCTAGGGATTATCATCAGCTTCTACCTTCAGAACTGCAACTTCAGTGTGGAGTTCACTCGGTTCTCAATCTCTTCATCCTCATCACCAAGGATATTAGCTCCCGTGCCAATATCTCAGAGACCACAACCAGAAATGCCTAATGTTCCCGCCTCTAAGTCTAACAGTAGTTCCTTGAAGGAGTATCTTAAGCCTCCTGTGGTCATGCACGACATGAACGATAAGGAGCTTCTATGGAGGGCTTCGATGTCTCCTAGGATCGCGGATTACCCTTTCCAACGTGTTCCTAAAGTCGCCTTCTTGTTCTTAACAAAAGGTCCTGTGCATTTGGCTCCTCTGTGGGAGATGTTCTTCAAGGGACATGAAGGCTATTACTCAATCTATGTCCATTCAAACCCGTCTTACAATGGATCCGACCCCGAGAGCCCGGTGTTCCATGGCCGCAGAATTCCTAGCAAGGTCAGTTTGTTTCTCCTTCATTACTTTCATTTAATGATATGGTTAATAAATTGACTTGGACTTGGAAAATTAGCGATATGAGAATGTGAATGTCCTTTGTTTTGAAATCATGACTTTATTAAACCTATGTAAAACATAACTACGTCCTTATTTGTAGGCACACTAGCTAGTTGATTTTATCTATAAGTGGGAACAGAGTAGGAGAAAACCAATGACGAGGCCATGAGAGTAGAGAAAGCAGAACAAAACAGAGGAAGACGCTAATTGCTTTATATTATATTATAATCTCACATGAACACGATCATAGATTTAGTGTCCAGTTAAAGTCAATAATGACAAACCGAAAACAATATTTTCAATAATGGCAGTCATCTGTACTATCTTTGCCTTAATCTGAATCGCGACAATAAGCTTATATTCATTTTATTCGCATTTTTGAGTTCATTTTCCTTTTTTAATATTATTCACATCAGCTATGCATTTGTTTTATTGTATTCAAATTGTTTCTCTAATATCTGTAATAGAACGAAGGAATAATCAAGAGGCTAAGAATAGGCTTAAGCAGAATAGATAACCCCCCGGGGGGGGAGAAAACAGAGGAAGACAACAAAGGATTCATAATTTCATACAGGGTTCATAAATTTACAGTCTATACGCAATTTACCCTTACACATTCAAAGTCAAGAAATATAGCTATGGTCAAAATGGTAAGCTAGAAAGATATATGTATGCAGGTATTTTTCAAGAAAGCAAATTCCATTTCGGTGGTCCAACATGCAATAGCAAGAAAAAAACAGAGGCCTATCCTCTTTGTGAACTGAACTTCTTCTGTTGATTAGTACGACAGTCACATTGATCATCACGTTCATCTCCATCAACTGGTCCTATCCCATATGCTACGTTTAATCTCATTAGATCTGCCTCAGGGCTGTGTGTCCCACGTGTATCTCCAAGCATGGTAGGTAGCTCGTGAGGCCCAAAACAACAGCTTTTTGACCAAAACATTCCCAAGGTCGTCAACCTGCAATTCCTAACATTGGTTCCTAGGTTATATTTCATTTCCTTTTTGCATTTTGCCTCTATAAGAAAAGGAAGCTCAGCAAAGCTCGGACATTTCAACGAAAGAGATACTTCAATTTCCTTCGCTTATAGCTTCTGACAATTTCTTCTTAAAAATATCATTATTTCGCATGTTTTTGTGGGACCTCTCCATAGCTACATGACGCTTTTATAATTAGTTAGTTTACCTAATAAGCTGGGCCTGGGTCAACCAAAATCAACACCGACTAACACTTTCATCTTCATCACTTGTGAAACAGAAAGTTCAATGGGGCAACGTCAACATGATCGAAGCTGAACGGCGGCTGCTGGCGAACGCCCTCCTCGACATCTCCAACCAGCGATTCGTCCTCTTGTCGGAATCCTGCATTCCTCTGTTCAACTTCTCCACTGTCTACTCCTACCTCATCAACTCCAAGCAGAATTATGTCATGGCCTACGACGACCCTAGCTGGGTGGGTCGTGGCCGTTACCGTCCCAGGATGCTCCCACGTGTGTCCCTCCGACAATGGAGAAAAGGGTCACAATGGTTCGAAATGGACAGAAACCTGGCACTGGAGGTTGCGTCGGACAGAGTGTACTTCCCTCTGTTTCAGAAGTATTGTAATGGTGATTGTTACGCGGATGAGCATTACTTGCCTACGTTCGTGAGCATCAATTTCTACGACGGGAATTCGAATAGGTCGTTGACTTGGGTTGACTGGTCCAAGGGTGGGCCCCATCCGACCCGGTTCTCGAGGGACGAGGTGACTCCTGGGTTGTTGGAGAGGTTGAGGAACAAGAAGTGCAAGTATAATGGGGGTCAAGAAACCAACGCGTGCTTCTTGTTTGCTAGAAAGTTCTCGCCTTCTAGTTTGCCCAAGCTTCTCACTATTGCTCCTAGGGTTATGCATTTCTCAAATACTCATGGTCAACATCCGAATGCTTTCCATTGGAGCAATAATTTAAGAAAACTGAAGTGACCTGGGAGCGCTTCTTTGAAAGAAATCATTTGATTTATTCTTTCCATCATTCTTTTTCTTTTTCTTTCTCTTTCCGTCATTTTCTTCTTCTCATCCCTTCCCTAGATGAGAAAAGAAAAAGAGATACAGGATGACGAGACATAAACCCGAATTTCTTGGAGCTGTTTGTAGTTCTTGCACTGAATTTCGTGTTTTTGTATAAAACCTCACAGGTGGATCTTGGAAGTGAATTTTAATGTGGTACTCTGGACCATTTGTCCTACTAATTAGACAATAAAAGTTAGATGCCTCAAACCATAAGGCAGATCAAGAACTTCGAATTTCGAATATCTATTCCTTGCTTCTTTAATGGTTAGAAAAAAAAAAAAAAGAAACTTCACATTAAAGCTAGCAACTTTGGCTATCAATCTGGAGAATAGGAATAAATTCAAAACCGCTTTCCCCTTCTCACTCAGAAAAGAGAATACTTTATTCTGGTTGGGTCATGTAAGAATAAAAATCTGTTTTTGCTGATTCAAGACGTAACACTCTGTTTTTGTCCTAGAACCCTCTCCTCGGGAGAAAAGAGTTGTAAAGGAAAAAAAGATATGAACTTTAATTTTAGAGCTAACACAAAAAACTTCCATTTCGCATCGATTTGATTATCAGAATCCCATACAGGACAATGTGACTAAATATTCAGAGAATGGTTGAAGAAAAGCTAACAGAGGAACTTCAAGAAGCATCTTCAGACACGGAAGGTGAATCGGACGCAGAGTCCAACGTGTCATGACTCGGCCCCACCTCGACCCCACGAATCTCCTCGATCATCTTCACCACGTGGCTCATGCTGGGCCGTTGATCAGGCGCAGCGGCCGTACAGGACAGAGCAATCTGAAGCAGCCCCACCATCTCATCCTCAATATCCTTGTACCTCATCAGCTCAAGATCGAATACCTCCGCCGTCCATTCCTCCCTTACCACCGACTGTACCCACCTCGGAAGATCTACCATCGCACTGCCGCCGTACCCGCTGCCGTCCACGGAGGATGGGCACTTCCCGGTGAGAATCTCCAGTAGGACGACGCCAAAGGAGTACACGTCGGATTTTTGAGTGCATCTCCGTCCGTCGAGAGCCTCCGGAGCACGGTAGCCGTTAGATTTCGGAGTGGCGGCGGGGGCCGCAAAGATGGAGAGCCCGAAATCTGCCACGCGTGCATTTCCCGCCCTGTCGAGGAGGATGTTAGTGGATTTGACGTTACCGTGGGTGAGCTTAAGCGACTTGCATGAACTGTGAATAAAAGCCACTCCACGCGCCGCCCCGGCTGCTATTTTAAGCCTTGTGGTCCAGTCCAGTGGGGTACGGCCAGGCCCTCGGTTACCTGTCGGAAACGAAGTTAACAATTTAGCCATCAAGTTTTGTATGATTCGAATTTGTCACTAGTTTCTTTTCCTTGGAAAACAGGGCAAGGGTTCAAATGGGTGGGTGGCTCCCTTGGCACTTCTTTGGTCATAATGCCTGGAAAATCTGGGACTAAAGATAAAAGCATAAGGACATGTTTCTGGAAAAGAACAAAAAGCAAAAGGAGATCTGGAAAAAAGAAGACACTGATTAGGCTCCTGCGTTTTCAACAGTTGCTTTCGTCTGCAACAGTTTGCTCGTCAACGTACAGGGAAAATAGAATAGAAAAATGCCACTGCTTTCCTCAATCCTGGTACGCCGTGACAAGTTGGAAATAATCCATCATTCATAATCACATGGTCCAACTTCAATAATTTAAAAAAGAAAGAAGCTCTAAATGGACCCTATCTAAGCTACAACTTTAATGCTTATAATCTCCATAGTACATCATCGTGCCAGGGGAATGCAAAAATGAGTTGTTAAATCCTCAAACCGTGCTTTAGCTTCTGCGTAAATATTCTGGTCCAACTTTGATGTTCCAAAAAGAAGCCAAAGCACGACCTTCTAAAACTAACTAGATCCATTGCACCCTACAATTAGGGGTGTCTTACTCTCCTGTATTGGTGTTGGATATTTATTATTATTATTATTCAACCCAGTTTGGCCACGAAGATAGTAACAAGTGCGGCAAATTAAAAAGTAATGATTAACGATAATTTAATAAAGCTAGTAAGAACAAGAGTCCTCTCAACTGGTCCTCACAACTATCATCGGCGTTCTTCATCTATGTCGGAATGATTTTTCTTGTTCACCAACTTTTCTCAGCAGTCAAATTCATGAGAAATACTAAGAGATATTAATCATTGCAGTAAAATGAAATTGACGTACCATGAAGAAGCCAGAACAAGCTTCCATTGGGCATGTAATCAGATACCAGCAACTTCTCGTCTCTGGCAAAATAGTAAGCTCTCAAATTAACGATGTTTGGATGCCTCAATCTTCCCAGAATTTCCATTTGTTGCTCGAACTCTTTCTTCCCTCCAATCTGAGCTTCTTTGAGCCTCTTGACGGCGACGACACTTCCGTCATCCAGAACCGCCTTGTACGCCGTCCCGAACCCCCCTTTTCCCAGCATTTCCGCTGAAGCTCGAAGCAAATCCTCTAGCTCGAATTTCTTCACCCCTTCGAAGAATACCATTCGGCCCCTCTCAAACCCCGATTGAACCGGATACGGACTCGATGAATACACGATTTTCTCGCTCTCCATTAGCTTCGAACCTTTTCCGTCCTTCAATTTCGCGGCGTAGTTTTGCCAGAAGTAGCAGTACAGCAGAAGGGAGACCACTGCGAGGACCACAATGTCGCCGAGAATAATGGCGATGAGAGCAATGGGGCTTATTTTTGCTGATGAATTGGATTTTCTGGGACGTGTTGCTTCGTTTGCAGGCATTGAGCTCGGTGTGGACGATATAGTTGGTGTTCTTGGGTTGCTTCGCGGCGTTAATGGCGACGCAATGGCTCCTTCAGATCCGGGTTTGCTGGGTTCGGCCACAAAGTTGGCACATTTCTGCATCGGAGCTCCGCAAAGAGACGGATTTAGAGCGAAACTCGATTCGGGGAAACCCGACAGTGATTTGGGTATTTGGCCGGACAGTCGATTCCCGGAGACATTGAAGTCTTGAAGGTTAGGAAGGTTAAGACTAGGAATGTCGCCGGAGAAACGGTTCTCATTTAGACGGAGAGTGAGAATGTGGGTCAAATGGTTGACCGTCGCGGGAATCTCGCCGGACAAGTTATTGTGTGACAGATCAAGACGGTACAAGCGGAAAAGCGACGAGACAGTCGCCGGAAAGCCACCGGAAAACTCATTGTAAGAGAGATACAAAAGTTTCAGGGCCGTGAAATTGGAAAGGCTAGGAATGGGACCGGAGAGGCGGTTTCGCTTCAGGCTCAAAACTCGAAGCTGAGTTAGAGAAGTCAAATGTTCGAAAGAGCCTCGGAGATCGAGGTCTTCAAGAACGAGCCGCGAGACTCTGTCATGGAGGCAATATACGCCGGACCAAGAAGTACAAGGGTCAGTACTGGGGTTCCAAGTTGAGAGCTTGTTGGACGTATCTGAAGAAGTTTTAAACGCCATGAGAGCTTCCAAGTCTGGGATTTTGGAGCTCTGAACAAGAAGAAGAAGATGGAAAAGTGAAGAGAAGAAGGCAGCCAAGTAAAGGGGTGCCACCATTGTTGCAGTAGAGATGCAGAGACAGAGCAAGACGAAAATGGGGCTCGTGGAACGAATTAGAGAAGTAGGTTTGTCGTTTTGAGCGATAAATGAGCAAGGCCGTTAGTTGTAGAAGAACTATCTCATCGTAGTGACAATGGTGTAATTAAATGAACGCACAGGGGTTTAATGGTGATAAAATAAGAGAAAATTACGTACAGGTCCCACATAAGGCAATTTATTCATCTAAGGTCTCACTGACAGGTCTCAAAGGATCTCAGAGTAATATTTTCAATTTGTAAAATGACATTACTGCCCATCATATTCTAGATTCACATTTACTCTGTTATTGCGATTTACAACCTCAGCAGCGACTATTAACAACCGAATGAGATGGCATTAACAACTTAAGCGATACCTGTTAACAACTTACTTTATAGAATCATATAACCTCCACATAAGCCTAAATTATAACCAAATAGTATAATACAACAACTTTAACACTAAAATGGAAAGTTTTTTTATATCATTAAGAATTTTAACTAAACCCAATAGGATAATATTAATAACCCAAAGAGAGCTGTTGACAATCTAGACAGTATCTGTTAACAACTGATTTTATAGGATAATATAACCTTTAACAACTATATAAGATTAACTTTAAGACTATTTAGTTATAATTTAGTTAGTTATAGTTAGAAGTTATATTATTCGATAAAGTGAGTTGTTAACAGACACTGCTAAGGTTGTTAACAGTTTTCCTTAGGTTATTAATACTTATTGTTGAGGTTGTAAATGGATCTTCACATTAAAATGTTGCTATAATTCTATTAGATTTAGTTAAAATTCTTAATGATATCAAAAAGCTTCCCATTTTAGTGTTAAAGTTGTTGTATTATACTATTGGGTTATAATTTACTCTTATGCGGAGGTTATATAATTTTATAAAGTAAGTTGTTAACGGATACTGTTTAGGTTGTTAATGTCCTCTCATTCGGTTGTCAATAGTCGCTATTGAGGTTGTAAATGGATCTTCGCATTAAAATGTTGCTATAATTCTATTAGGTTTAGTTAAAATTCTTAATGATGTCAAAAAGCTTCCCATTTTAGTGTTAAAGTTGTTGTATGATACTATTTGGTTATAATTTACTCTTATGCGGAGGTTATATAATTTTATAAAGTAAATTGTTAACGGATACTGTTTAGGTTGTTAATGCCATCTCATTCGGTTGTTAATAGTCGCTGCTGAGGTTGTAAATCACAATGACAGAGCAAATGTGAATCTGAAATATGAGGGGCAGTAATGTCATTTCACAAATCGAAAATATTACTTTGAGGTCCCTTAAGACCTATCAGTGATTTTAACATTTTGTGGGACTTTAGATGAATAAATTACCTTATAGGACCTGTCCGTAATTTTCTCATAAAATAAATCCTTGACAAAATAGGGTTTTTTCTTGAGGAAAGTATTGATAAAATTAAAATTAAAAAAATTTCAACTTAACTCAAATAATTAAATACTCCTCCTCTTTGCTTATAAAGTAAAATCTAATTTAAAAGTTAATGTTAGTTTTATATATAAAATTTATTTTACATATTTATTAATTTTTTAAAATTAATTTTAGGGAAAATGACAAATAAAAAAGACTGAAATTTAGATATCTCAGTTTGAGAAATTAAAGATTAGAAATCATAGAAAGAAAAGTTATTTCCAAAATGGGATATCCTAATTTCTATGATTTCTAATCATTAGCTTTCCAAAATGGGATATTCTAATTTCAGCATTATTTATATGTCATTTTCCTTTAATTTTATGGATACTCTCACAATAATAATTAAGTAATAGAAAGAGAAAAAAAATTTTAAAAAATAATTACAATATTTAAAAAAATCATATTAACTAATTTAACTATGTTTTTAACTTATTCAAATTAATTAATTAAATTTTATATTAAAAATACCGTTAAGTTTAGGAAACATGACAAAAAAAGAAGTTATAAATTCGTAAATACCAAATAAGAAATGTCAATCAAAATTTATTATTATTTACAAATTTAATATTATTAATTCCAAATAAAATATGGTTACTAAATCTCATTTAAAATTTAGTAATTTTTAGTTTCTTTTTTTGTTATTTTTCCTTAAATTTATTTATTTATTTATTTTCTTTTTGGGAAAAAAAGTCAGTCGGTTAAAGAAACAGAGACGGTACATGCGAATATATTAGTAGCTTTTGGGGCAGGACGTGCTGCACGTGAAAAGACGATGCCATCCTTCTAACCACAGCTACGGGGCCTGCATCGATCGACGCAAGATCAAACCGGGATGCGCTCCCCCGCGCTCCACAGCCACGGACAATCATGAGGATCGCTTGGTCTTTTTAAATTAAATTTTTTTTATATGAAAAATATTTAAGTCAAATCAAATTGCATATATTGATTATCTCAGGTTTTTTTTAATCACATGTCTCTCAATATTTTTTTCTATAAATTTATAATTAAATACTAATATTTCAATAACAATACAGATGATTAGGAGTGATTTTTTTTAACCAAAAATGGTCATGAGTGATTTGAAAATTTGATATAATAAATATAGTAAATATTGTGCTTTTTATATTTAAGTGTTTTAAAGATATAAATACAGGAATAAGTTTTCGTCAAGACGGGAATCCATCCAATCTTATTCATAAATTATTTTTAACATTCTTCATCATAATCAAAGAAAATTTTAAAATTTATTAACTTAGTCTACAAATTTAAAAAAAATTATACTTTTCTACGTCAATACTCTTCTAATATTTAATATAAGATCTATTTAACTAATTTGATTAGAATAAGAAATTTAAGTAAGTTAATTAATTATAAGAAATATTACATGTTTTTTTTTTCTAAAAAACCGTAATCATCATCTTTAATATTCTTCCTCTATCGTTTACTTAATTATAATTAATGGATTATTAATAGGCATAATTTGAAAAAAAACTGATAGCTATGAAAAATATGTCTTATATTTAAAACTAAGATTAACTCAATAATTAGGTCATATATTAATAACTAGAAAAGTATTAAATAAGAAGAAAAGAAAAGGATGTAATAAATAATTAATGTGATGCCGTATTAAAAAAAATACTTTTTAGCTAAATTTAATTATTTTCAAAATGGATTATTATTTTGCTACGAGATTAATTGGGTTAAGCTCGTGATACTTTAAAGTTTAAAATCTTGCGAAAACAAAAATGCATTAAAAATAATTTCCAACTCGGCTTTTATGATTTTCTTTTTATTTTTCAAATAACTTTTCATCCTTTTACCCAAGAAAACCTTTCATCATTTTCAACCAAGCTTGTATTATTTCTAACCTGTTTTTTCAGCAATTTCTAATTAACATCTTCTTTTAACTGTAATTATTACCCCTTTGAAGTCCTAAAGTGTCATTTCGTCGTCAATTATGAAGAATTATGCTTTCTGAAGGAATGACATTAGTTTGGAAGATATAAAAGAAACATATCAATCAATCAATTGTGGGGTTGTATCAAAAAAAAAAAAAATCAATCAATTGTGGGGATTTCGGTCCAAAAAAAAAATCAATTGTGGGGATATATAATATATTTGTTTTTTCTTGATAAGTCGGAAAACAATTGTGGGGATATTATTTCTTGTAAATGGAATAGACGCCCAAAGTTTATGAGTCATGACAATTAAGTGCCAAATAATAAAATTCTCTGTGTTTTTTTTTACCAGCAATAAAACTCCATCGACTCTTATCATGCACTATAACTCTCTATCATCCAAGTCAATTTAAGAAAAATTACCAATTGGTTTTCAGTTGAAGAGGGTCTTTGGTCTTTCATCCCTTTTCTTAAGCAAAAGAAATAGCTCATTACTCAAAGCAGTGAATGCAGCAAAGAAAGACCCAACTAAATGATTTTGAATATGATATTTATATTTTTCTAAAAAAATTAGATTAAATAATCTTAAAATGTTCTAAGGATTAAAATCATTATCATAGTTCATGAGACGCATTACTATTTGTTTTTCAAATATCTATAAGTTTTAAGGAAGTTATTATATTATTATTTAAAATCATCTATTTTAAAATCTCATAATTACTTTCTTAAAATTTAGTGCTAGTTCCATAAATTTTTATGTTAACTTTGATTTTTAAAAATGATCATAATTTTCTCTATTTCTTAAGCTGGTAATAATTTGGAGCCAAATTTCTAGCTTGAAAGAGGCAAGTTTTCACCTCTTCCTTTACTCAATCTTATGTCTTCTACTCTTTGGACAATTCTGAATATTCCTTGCCCCTAAAGAGGACAAACCCGTTTCTCAACAAACAGAAAACAGAGCTTCATCTATCAATGCAAATGTTGAAATTTTTTATGCTTGATGATATATGAAAAGAAAGAGAAAATGCAAACATGTTTAGAGTTAAAGCATTGAAAAATGAAATTGCATATTACAGTTTTCAAAAGGAAAAGATTATAAAAACGTAAAACAGATAGCACACAGACCCATATATAACAAAAGGGAATCCTATAACTGCACAATCTCACATGGTTGAGATGTGGAATGAACAGGAGTTGTTGAAGAAGAAAAGAAAAACGGCTTAGGAGGTACTTGCAGGGTTTCCAAGCTTCCTTCCAACATCTCCACTACTTCACTCATTGCTGGTCTCATTGAAGGGTCAGTTTGTATGCACCATAAGCTCACCATTATCATTTTTCTCACCATTTCTTTTTCAGTATCATTCCTAATGCATCCCAATTCTAGTTCTTGATTCAGTTCAAGGCGCTTATAAATCCATTGTGGAACATAAATTTCACTGGAATGATCAACTTCAGCATTCATGTTCCTTCTTCCTCCAACCATTTCTAGAACCACCATTCCAAAACTGAAGACATCTGATTTGTGAGATACGTTGCCATAGTTTCTTGAAAATACTTCTGGAGCAATGTATCCTGCAGTACCCCTTGCTTCCAATATGGACACAATCCAATCTTTTATTGGCAGTATTTTAGCGAGTCCAAAATCTGAAATTTTTGGGCAAAACTCCTTATCGAGTAGGATGTTA